GTATTTCATAACTTCTGGATATAAGTCCCTTATCTGATATGTTATTACCGAATAATTTTTCCCCGTCAGTGGCTTCCCTTTTTACCCTGTTGGAGAAGTTTTTGGATGTCATAGGGATTTGAGTCTTAGAAGATCCCATTCTTCTAAGTTATCTCCTCCTGGTTGTAGGTTTTCCAGGATACTGGGAAGAGTGTTTATGTTGTCGATTAGGACTTCTAGTGTTGTTCCTAGCTTTTCTGTAATGAAGTTTTTAGTCCTAGGTCCATGATCCACCTTGAGTTGGTTTTTCTGTATGGAGTGAGGTGTGAGTCTTGCTTGAGTCTTTTGCAGATATTTTTCCAATTTCTTGTTTGATACCTTTTCAATCTACATGTCCCAGAGGCTGGGCTCTAAGGAATGTAGCATCAGGATTGAAGGAAGACTCAGCAACAACCTGCATTAGGCAGATGACACAATCTTGCTTTCTCAATGTAAGGAGGACCTGAAGCACTTGCTGCAGAAGGTCAAGGACTGCAACCTTCAATATGGATTGAAGCTGGTGTTCAGAATCTGAGCTGCAATCTTGAAAGCACGCAGTTCAAATCCACCAGCTGCTCTGTGGGAGAGGATGGACATTTTCCTCCATGAATAACCTCTAAAAACCCGCTGGAGTGTCAGCTTTGGGTCAGTTTTGACTCGATGGTACACAACAGCAATGATCTATGTTGTTGTTGTTATGTGCCGTCGAGTCTCTTGTGACTCATAGCGACCCTATGTACAACAGCCCTAAACTCTGCTCTGTCCCGTGCCAATCGCTGGTTGATACTTTTAAAGTTCTTGTACTGATTGTACTGTAAATTTTCTATTTCAGAATCCCTGCTTTAGATCTCTGTATTATTCTCTGATAATTCCTTTTTGTCTAACTCTGGTGTAATCAGCTCTTTCTATATCAGACCTAGTCTTTGGTCTCCCCCTCATTTTAATAAGTATTATTGACCTTGGAATACAGGGGCCTTTGTGGCAGGGCTGGATGCTGGACTTGTTTACAACTCCTTTCCCAAGATGGGAGAATCCTGGATCCCAGAGGATCTCTTGACTTTCTCCCCCATCCTGAAGAATGTTTTTGAGAACCCCACCATGGTGCAGTTTGATCACCGCATTCTGGTAAGTCTGGCTGGTAGTTACCTTATTGAGCACAGGGAGGGGGTGGGAGGCTTTCACAGGCTTTGGAGTATCAGTGGAGCACTACTGGCAACAGAAAAGATCGAGTAGGAACGATACTCCCTTTCTTTTTGAAAGAAGTCCTAATAACAGTTCTCTGACCTGGTGTTTTTGTCAAAATCACCCACATCTTCTCCAGCCAAAATCTAGCTTTCAGGCTACTGCCAGCTTCCTAAATTCTATACATCTCTATCACCCTGGCATGTAATAACCTCTCACAAACCTATACGTATAGGTATCATTTCAGCAGAAATTAGGAACAAAGAGAGTACAAAGATAGAGGATGTCAGACACAGAGCTGTCGAAACTGAACCAGAAGCTCAAGAAACCAGGAGCACCATATATCATTTCTATCTGTTTTAAGCTAATGTTTATTATGGGCCTATAAAGGGAGCTCTGGTGACCTTGTGGTAAGAAGCTTCACTGCAGTCTCGAAGGTATGCCCTTAGAATCCACAAGTTCCTCTGTGGGAGAAGGATCACAGTCTCCTCCCATGTGATTAATTGCCTCTGAAAACCCTCTGGGTTCTGACTTGATGGTACTCAACATCAGCAACAAAAGCCATATTAAGTTTCGCTTGTCAGGCAAAGATTGTCTTGATTAGGCATGATAGATTGGAGTAGGGAAAGTTGAGTATCAAAGAGACCAGTAAAAAGCATATGTGCCATTGCAGTAATACAGGTGTGAGTGCTAGGGACCAGGGGATAGAGTTAGACTGGCTAGTTAGGAACAAAAATGAAGAAAGATCAGCCAGAATTCCAAAGGTCTTGGAGTGTCATGCTTCAAATACAGCCAACATAATCTGGTGGTTGCAATTGGAAAATTAATCTGTAAGAATGGATGGAGGTGTACACTTCAAATTCTTAGACTGTGCTATATGTAAGTTAAGCCTCAACTAAAAAGTTAAAATGAGATGCAGCAAAATGGTACTATGAGAATGAATGTTGAGTTAGAGATAGGAGAATGTCCTCGAATTGAGGCCTGTTGAGGGATGAAAGTGTGTCCAGGACACACCTTTCAGGGGGCTTGGTTGTCCAAAGGGCCTGGTGGGCTTACTTGTGTTTGCACAGCCTCCACCTCCTTATAATATTTTGGAATAAGTAACAGAACAGCTCACCTCATTACTGTCAAGTCAGAACTGACTGACAGTGAACCTCCAGCAGGTCTCCAAGGCTGTGGCCACATGGAACTGCTGGTGGGTTTGAACCTCCAGGAACACCTAACTCATGTCCTGCAGCCTATCCCACTAGCCCACCCTGTGGAATAAGTAAAGTCTGGTTGAAATCAATGTGTGACTTTGAAAAAGAGAAGTGAAATGGATGTAGAAATAAAAATAAAATATAAATATATTCTTCCTAACATCACAGATATGGGAAAGATACCTTGTTGCCAGTCCTGGGCCCTCGTTGAAAGGATAGGAATGAAAAGGAGACTAGTTTTGCGGGGGGGGGGGGGGGGTGTTGCTGCTTAGTACCAGCTGGCAGCACCACTGCCTCTTCCACTTGCAGTTGAAAAAAAATACCACGTGTACTGTGTCCTGGGATTGGCCCTGCCTTTTTAAAAAAAAAAAAAAATTGAAAAGATAAAATTTGGGAGGATTCAAAGAGTGATTTAAAATTGAAGGCCATGCCTAACAGACACCCATATGTAATAGTGAATAAGATCACAGAGAGAAGGGAGATCTATATAATAGTGACATATGCACAAAGTTAAGGTGGGACTGTGGGACACACCACCATTTAAATGGGGAGCAAAAACCATGGGAAGAGTAATCAAGAGGAGGGGTCCGGGGGAGGTTACCAACACTGGGTTAGCTATGTGCTTAGCAATGGCTCAGTAGTCCTGGAGAAACTACGTACAAGACAGGCAGGCATCAGGAGAGTAGGAAATGTCTTAGTGCCACTTGTAATGAGTCCTTTGTCCCCACAGGGGATCAGTTCTGTTACTGCCATCACAGTGCTCTACTTCCTGTCCCGGAGAATCCCGCTGCCAAGGAGGACCAGGATGGCTGTGGCAACTTTGCTGGCTTTGGCCTATACACAGGTATGAACTGCTGCTTTTTCTTTCCAAAGGTGTCCCAAAAACAAAAGAACGGTGACAGACTAGGACAAACTATTTTCAATTATAATGGACTAAATGATTGTTGTTGTCAAGTGCCGTTGAGTCATAGACTCCTCATATAGCGACCTTGTGAACAAAAGACCTGAATGATTAGTAGTCAGGAAATAAAGGATATCAATAAACAGTTCTCAGGGGAGCTCTGGTGGCCTAGTGGCAAGAAACTGCACTGCAATCCCAGAGGAACATGGTTCGAATCCACCAGACGCTCTGCCGGAGAAGGAGGCGCAATATCCTCCTGTACCAGTCAGATCTGATTTGACGGTACACGTACACAAAATAAAAATAAAAAAAAATAAAAAATAAAAAAAAAGAAACTATTTAAAAAAAAATAAACAGTTCTCAGAAGAAGAATGATGAATGACCAATAAGCATGGAAAGCTGTTTAATCTCACTCATGATTTGGGCAGAGCAAATGAACATAAAGCATATCATCCTGACCCTTTCCAACTGGAAAAAAACAAATGCTAAGTATGGGAATAGAAAAATAGATTCCATCATTTATTCTTTTGAGAGCAGGAGTTGGTGTATCTTTTCAGAGGGCACTTGAGCAGCGTCCTCTAAAATGGTAAATATATTACTGGTTGACTACCCAGTTGACTTATTGTTGTTAAGTGCCATCGAGTCATAGGCGACTCATAGTGACCCTAAAAACTAAAGACCTCAACACTTGTGTAACTTTCATCATTTCTCCACGTTCATAGGGTTTCCGGAGGCAAGCCATTTTGGAAGTGGATGCCACTCCTGCTTCTAAGCTTGTTTTAATCCGGAGGCTCCACCAAATACTGCCCACCATGGGTAACCATTATCACATTTGACACGTCAGTGTCACAGTGTTTAGCATCACAGCAACCACGAGTTACCTCTGTACATCAAATGACTTGTTGTTGTTGTTGTTGTTATGTGCCGTCGAGTCACCTGCGACTCATAGCGACCCTATGTACAACAGCCCTAAACTCTGCTCTGTCCTGTGCCA